ATCAGTAGCTGCTTATTCAAAATTATTTTCGCCCGCAATTTGCTTTGATAAAACATTCAATAAGGCTGGCCATAGAATTAGTTTGGCAGCGTCAATTTAGAGACTCTACTCACTTTGGCGTTCCCCGAAGTGTTTGAAGGTCCTCTGTGACAATTTGGATATTGAGGGTTCATGGTCTGCAAATGTTTAGCGCATAAGATTTGCCTAAATTATTAGGATGTATGTTCCAACTCTAGCGTATTTATGTATATACCAAATTTAAAGCTTGAAAAAAACTATAAAATACATATTTTGTACCTACCCATTGGGCCTATTGAATAAAAAAAAAGTTTTAGCTTATACTTCCTTCTATTTAAGTATTTACTCCATATAAATCATGTAAAAGAGTTTACTTATGACCATAAGCAAACTCTTACTGGTTTCAAGTAGTTACTTAAAATTTAAGGATTTACTTTTATTTTTCCAGCACTAGCTTATTTTTATGTGAATAAAAATAAGACCTGTCTTAAATTAGTCAGTAAGAACTCAATGATTTTTAAGGTACCTTCAAGCAAACCTTTTCGCGACAGTAATTGTTAGAAAATTAATATTTGTTTGTTGATCATGGTGGATTTCATAATTGGTCGTAACAGGAAGAACTACAAGGAGAGACGAAACATCAGCCCCAGCAAATCTAAGGTCTTGATGCATTTTGGGAGTGAAAATTATATTTCGGATTATTTTTCACCAGAGGTAAATGAATCCAGAGGAGGTGCACTTACAGCTCTGCACTCTTGCGATATTTCTGCGATATGTCCGTGATACCGGATACCAAACAAGTATTGGTGAAGATTTTGGTGTTCATCACTCAACAGTATGCAAAACCATTAATGCCGTAGCTGATAGTATCTTCGAAAAGGCCCACTACTGGTTAAAATTCCCATCTACTCTAGATGATATGCAAGAAGCAAGAATAAAATGGTGAAATCGATTCCAAATGCCTACATTTATTGGGGCTGTCCACTTTGCGGATATTCAGATTATTTCAGATTAAAATACCACCAGAATTTGGAGATGATTCTATTAACAGAAAAGGAGTTTCTAACATAAATGTGCAAGTTACTTGTGATGCAAATGAAATGATTACAAATTTAGGAGCTCTGGAAGTCTGGAAGCATTCACGATTCCAGAATCTAGAGTCAAAGTTCTATATATGAAAGTGTGGCAAAATTTCGGGGTAATTTCTGTCTTCTTGGAGACAGTCGATATGGAATTGTTCCTTGGTTATTAACACTATTTAAAAATCGCCACAACCGAATTGAAGAATTATTCAATATCTACCAGATGACTTAGAGTTTGCAGTAGATGGATTGGAACATCCGGGAGACGCCGATTACGTGTCTGATGAAATTGGAAACAATAACATTCTTCAAAGAGGCACAGAGAAACGTCAAGCAATACTGGAGACAATGTTCGGTGATAATGATTAAATAATAATTAAAGTTAAATAATTGGTAACCAAAACATAAGATACATACGTTATAAATGTTTTTGTTTTCAGTAGAGTGTTATACATATTTAGTTTCTTTAATTAAAGCAATTTTCCTTGTTTTATATTCCATTGAATTACAAACACAATACAAATTTCAATACTGTTACAAATAAATTTACTTATTTGTAATTTAGATCAACAGAACCTATAGCGTCGTGGAATTCAAAAAATAAATAAAACGTGTAGCCCCATTATGTGCAAATGAAACCACTCAAATTCCAACAAACAATAATTTTATTTGGTACTTGTAAATATTAACAATGTATTAGGTTCACTTTAAAAATTTTGAAGTTATTCATGAGCATTTAACTCGACATTTAGTCTTTCTAGGAATCTGATACAGTATGTACCTTTCCAATTTGGAGCACTTCAATGGATGTTGGGGTTCCACTTCCGTGAACTGAAGTTTTCCGGATTTTTTCCTATGTCCAGGAAAGGGGATAGATTGCTGGCGTCACTCCAGCTGATCTGGACTCCAAATAGTGATTTTTTATGTGGAATAGGTACCCAGAAAAGAATAAAACAGTATCAGGTTCACCAACGTTTGGAGTATTGAATTCCTGAATTCTGTTAAAAATCTTGCAGAGAAAAAAAAAATTAATATGAAATCAGTTTATTATAAAACTATTGTCGTGCAGACACTCCTTTCCAACAGAATCAGGTATGAGCAACTATTGCAAATTGAAAATAATTATATTTTCTTATGGAAAAACAATTAAATATTTGAAAAAAAAAAAACTAAAATAAAGTACTTAGCAATAATTAGGTAAGTATACAGCGAGCTTCTCGTGCAGTGACGCTGAATAGGCAAAAATTTAAAAAGAGAATCTAGGAAAGATTGAACAAGATAAAAAAAAAATCTCTAGATTTTCCCCAAATAGATGAATTTTCCGTTTAAGTTAAGGTACCTACTATTGGTACTACAAGATAAGGCTGAGGGTGAAATAAATTAAATCCAAGGAACTGTCAAAATTCTTGAGATTTTTTAATTAAAATATTTTAAGTGAATTTCTGACCTATCCGGATTTCTATCATAAAACTTCACCCTTTCAGCACTCTCCTTCTTGAGAAAACAATGAGGGAGTCGAACAATACTTGGCTAGATAGGTTTCTGCCTGGATTTAGTAGTGTTGATAGGGATGGACACACAAATTCGGTTTAAACCCACTCTTTCTAGAGAAAATGGTCCAATAATCCCACACTAAAAATTAAATCGAAATACCAAAGCAGCAATACCTATTTATTAGCCAAACCTTTGAATTGACTCTCCTCAGAAAAATGAGGTATCACACAAAATGGAAGATCACAATAGATAAAAAGTTAAAATATAATATTTCTATGCTAAAGGTAGATAATAAAGTAAGATATTAGGTAATAAAAACCCAACAGTGATAATAAACACTGATGGTGAAATACAACGAAAAATATTAAGGGAAAATCTAGAAATCTGAAGAAAAAATTACAAAGTGAAAGTCGACTTGCCTGTTCAGCTATCTGCCAGAAAAGAGGCCTTTTTAGAACCAAAATTCCTGTAGGAAACCAGTCTTGTATTTTTTTATACTTAACTTCGTAGTAACCATTAAACCAATCAGAAGACAACACTCAAAAACTCACAAACTACCGGTTCACTTCAATAATAAAACACCACGCTGATTAAAAGGGAATAGATAAAAACACACTAGAATTATTTCAATTGTTTATAAATAATAATTATTTAAATTAAGGTTATGTTAGGAACACAAAACCACTAATTAATTAGGTCATCAAGTTAGAAATAATCATTTCAGAATCTGAAGTTAGAGAAAGACAGAAATACATTTATTTGCTTAACGCCGGATAGAAACCTACCACAATTTTGAAATAAATTTATTAGTACTTTTATCAGTAACAGATATTTGCATGTATACGCTCATTTTATTTATGTATAGATGGCAATACTGATATTATATTGAATTAAATAAATTTAGTGGATACTTTTCAAACTACTTAAGTTATGAATTATTATTATTTTGCTGATTCTGAAATGGCGAAAATACAACTTTATGATGAAAATTAGAAGAAATGGAGCATGTTACGAAAATGATAAATTTATCGTAACAATATATAAAATTCCTAATGTAATAGCATTAACATAACAAATAACGAAATAACATATACAATAAACATACATATTTTCAAATTACAAGTTTCTGGCTCCCTACAAAGGTATAAATTCTCGTAATTTTTCAAGAATGCCGCTTGAATCTCCGTGACTTCCTAAATTACTTTCGTGATCATGGTATCGTCGATTTGTCAGCTTGTCTATCATGAGTTGTTCCTTTTTGTTTTTTAACCTAGCGACCTTCGATTGCTCAAGTAGAGCAAGGCGTTGCAGTTCTTGAGTTGACAAATTTTTTGTTTCGTCAGTTTCTTGCTTGAATATATTTTTCTGTGGTAGCCTTTATACAATGCCTATAGTTGAACTAGATGAAAGCAATTGTGTATCCATATTAATATCCTCCAATTGTGTATCCATATTAATTTCCGTAGAGTTTTGTGGATTGTTTTGTTCAACATTCTTTGTTCCAATAGAACATGCACCAGGAATTTTCACAAAAACTTAATTTTTTCATATTTCAATAGTTTTAAAAACTCTTGTTCTCAAGAATGAGATTCTTGTAATTTAATTTTTGCGTTCCCGGTTACATTTTTATCGTTTTTTTTTTTTTTCACGTCTGTTTTCATGTTATTGAAATTTTCTTCAACTTCTCAACAGTAGTACCGGTCCCAGAGGTTTTGATAAATTCGTCTTTGAGATATTTCCATGCCTTTTCTTTACCTTGAACTATAGTAGGAATTATTGATTTATTCAAAAGAACCTTGTACTTTTTTAGTAACTTGATAAGTGTAAGTGTATATCCGCCAATTTTCACCGGCAATTCTCTCTCACTCGAAGACATGATGCAGCACTAGGTAGCTCTACCAATAGATAGATACACTGCTGTTACCGCTTATGCTTGAATAGAAATGCTCTCTTGCAGTCGCAACGTTGCGAACAATCCTGTTAGCTGTAACGACTTGTTTGTGGGAGTTTTACACCACATACATCAAACACGAAATACGCAACGAAAAAAGTAAATACTTATGAGTATAAGTAAGTACTTACAAGTAATTACTCACAATGGAAAAACATTTTCCGGTATTAACTCTTTAGAGATTTCTAGTTTTTAGTCAAATAAAAATAAGTAATAGCTCCTACCTAGAAGTTTTACCTTATTCTTATAAGTTATGACTTGCAAGGTAATACTTTTTTTTATTCAATAGACGCATTTATGTTTAAACCGTTCCCGTAAACCATAATTATATTAGCATGAGTTCAGCCTTCCTGATAAAACTAAAGCCTGGTAGGTTTTTCTCTCCAAAATAATGGTTGATCTTATTTTCTACTAATTAAAAAAAAAAAAAAAAGAATAATCTATGGTTAACTTACTTTATACGTGCCAAGATTGTCGACTACACACGGCAAACTGGCATCCCTTCCCAAAGCTACTGTAACATTTGGAATTGGTTCCACAAAACGGGGATCATCCGTGAGGGCTGAAAAAAATAAAATAAAACATAACAGAAGACGTTCAATTATAAAAAATGGAAATTTTTTTCTTAGCTTTGTGCTTTTCTAAACCTTCAAGCAAATTCATTCTGAAACTTCCTACACTTATAGTAGTAGTCAAATCGTGCCATTAGGTTTATAATTTAGTGCTACCTACCAAACAAGATTTTCAACATTTCAGTAACTATAATGTACTCGATGAAACTTGGTAGTCTTTTGAAGTTTGATGTAATAACTACACGTCGTATATCATAAAATTGTAAATAATTTCATGAATATATGGGCTGATTGCTAATTAGAAAAAAAAAAATTATTTTCCTTAAAAATACGAAATAGAAAATACATGCCTATTTATCATCGCCTAGCCAATACCAATTCTTGGCATTTTCAAATCATTTATATTTCTCTATTACTTTTAGCTTGCGGCAACAGCACGCGGCAATGATGCCCAGATGAAGAAATCTCTCAGCGCACCAAATAAATAATTTGCAATTTGCAATTAGTTTATTCCCGGCAGTTAATGAAACACTCTCGACAGCGCCTTTATGTTTTATACCTTTTTCTATTGTATTGTATGCCTCAGTCAATGACTGACGAAGAAATAAAAACAGTCCACATGCCAAATTATAAACTCTCAAGTCAGTTCAGTAGACAACATTTTATTAGAGGAGGAACAGCAATTTTTACCAACTCTGTGATGGAAACCAAAGAAAAAGATAATGTGAGAAGCTTGTCGGCTGAAAAAGATTTGGAAATGTGTTATATGTATCTTGAACATTTTAAAGTATATGTTTTGTCTATTTATAGATCACCCACAGGCAATTTTCTGAAATTTTTGAATTTGCTATAGAGTGCATTATTGTCAATCAATGTTTGTAAGCAGGTCATTTTAGCAGGTGATTTCAACATTCGTTTTGGTGCAGGTAGCTCTGAGGATATTAGATTTGCACACTTTTTGACTTATTTTGGCTTCAAGCGAATGATATGCTTTGAAACGAGAGGTCGGAATTGTCTTGATAATGTTTTTTTTTTTTAATTTTGCAGCGAACGACAGTGTGGCTACCAGCACAGACCATCTTCTGTCAGATCAGTTGGCCAAGACGGTTTGTTTGAGGGGTTTCCGACCACTTGCAAGTGGTCCAGGAAGACTTGCAGGCCCATTACTCACAGAGAAAGAATTAATTTTTTTGGTCTGGTTCCTGAGATTTCATGGGACTTTGTTATTGAATTACTCGGTGTGGAAACAAAAACTTCATTATTTCAGAATAAAATCAGTAAATGCTTCAATGACGCCTTTTCTGAAAAAACCTTCATAAATAAGATTAAACACAATCACTGAGATTGGTTCAACCTTAATCTGAGAAGTCTTAGAGAACAAGTTAGGCTCAGTAATGACTTGTATAAAATAACGCCTAGTCCAGGCATGCTACAAGAACGAAATAAGTTAAGACGTGAATATAGAAAAGAAATAAAGAAAGCCAAAGTGTCGTATGATGACAGATTAATAGGTACATCGAGTAATCCCTACAAGGCTGCGAGATCCATCATTAATCAGAATCAGGGAACAACAGAGAGAGTACCGCAGAGCAACGTCATTTCTCCACAGGACTTTAATACATATTTTCTAAATGTTGCACAGAGGCTTCTGGAGGTACTTGATCCGGGCCATCAGCCTACCTGCATTGGACGTGCGTGTGGTCCTGAGTTTGAGTTTAGAGAGGTGACGTTTGTGGAGGTTGTGAAGATCCATTTCTATGCATATTAAACTACAACTTGACGCCCAAGCAAGACTTGCCTGCTCCCTGTGAGCTACTTATGGGTAGGAAATTGCGTACAACTTCGCCAGGGTCACGTGATTGCTTAACACTCAGTTATTCAACCAAAGGCATTTAAAAGAAACTGCAGCATAAACAGAAAATACAAACTCTACATCATAATAGGTCTGCAGAAAAGCTACCTAATCTTGAGCCAAGTCAGAAAGTGTTGATTCAAAAAGGTCTTAGAAATTGGAAACCTGCTACTGTGATTTAAAAATCAGGATCAAATGATTTCCTCGTTCAAACTAATGATGGCGCAGAATATAGAAGAAATCGGATAAACCTAAGACCTTTGCGATAAATTCCAAATCCTCAGACCAATTCGCCCATTAAAAGGAAAGGAAATGATCAGATAGAAATACGAGTTGAAGAAAAAACTATAGTTAAGAAACTCAAAAAATACCATTGATGTGACTCACGATAAAAATGTTGACCCAAACGTGCCTCCTGATAAAGACTATAAAGAGTTGAATAATGCATATACTAGGTACTCGTAGTGGTAGTACAATTAAAACGCCCAAAAAACTTGACATTTAATACCTATTAAGTTTTGTTCACATTCATGTTTCATTGCATTTTTTATTTTGTTTTTAATAATTTTTTATTTTATTTTTATTTTTTTATTAGGAGGAGCGTGTCATGTATTGTCACCATCTATTATGACATGAATAGTTTATTTTATTTATAACGCCGCTTCTACCAGCTGACTGACTAAATACGTCAATCAGTCGTCGTCAAACTGGCTGCCAGTAGCTCTTCAGTTCTTTAAATAACAGCAACAGCATACATTAACATAGTTACCATCGATTTAGTAATTACATACTGATTAAACACTAGTGATCAGTAAGAACGCCTCTATTTATTCGATTAGACCCCGGACATAACAGATACTGCTTGAATTGTCAGCAAGGTTCCTATTTATGGAATATCCAACACATCCCAGCGACTCGTTTGGGTTGAAAGAAATGACCGGACTCGACGCCAACCATATTCCGTTTGATGTTGTTTAACTCGTTTTCCATCTCAGAAACCAGGCTTCTGATAATAAATGTTGTGATTCTTGGAACTTGCGTTTTTTGGTTAATAGTTTAGATGGCAAATTGCACCATCCAGAATTTATGATGCTGACCGGCTGAGCGGTTCGGGAATCAAAACAGCGGATATCACCCACCTGAAAATTTATCTTGTAGGTTTATTCAACTTTCAATTTTTCAAAAATTTTCTCCAGCTTCCAAGGCCTGTTTTTATCAAAACTTAACATATACAGTGTGTATCAGCCAAATGGAATAAATTCGATAATAAATAATTGGTCAAATTTTCGAAAAAACGCTCGGCACGTCGATTTCTAGATATATTTCATTACAATGTCATATACCTATCTTCTGTTTCAGAAATATTGACAGTTCAAAATTGACTCTTTTGCAACTTTGACAGGCTGTGAAACCTAAACGTTCAATTTTACAGCAAAACCGATTTTACATTCTCGTCTGTAGCTTTTCATAAGCTATGATTTATCACCAACTTTGAATCTGAACCGTTTAGGTTTTACACTCTGTTTAAGGTGCAAAAAAGTCAATATTCAACTGTCAATATTTCCGAACCAGTTGAAGATAAGTATAGGATATTGCACATGAAATACACGGAAAGAAATGCTTTGATAAAATGAATCAAAGCGACTTATTGAAATGAGAAATACCATAATCTATGCCAAATAAATTAGTTCAATCTAAAATGGAATAAAACAAGAAAAAAATTGACAAACATTAGCGTTTTAAGATTAATCTGCTAATTTCGCTTACGATTAATAACATCAAATTGAAATTAATGTCAATAGATACAATTTTCTTGTTTTTATGTTTAAACTGCTAAATCTCATCAATTTTTTTCTTGGGACATCAAAATTTAGATCGAATTGATGTACCTCCCATGATTAATTTTCGCAAGAAATTTGCTCAAATTAACTCTAAGATTATATTATTTTAGCTGTACTTGATAATAGTTTAACTAAAGAATAATATCTGATTTATCAACAAGATCAATTTGAGAAATTGAGATTCCTAGTGTCTGGTAGAATAAGTTCCATCAAAGTTATCTCAACAAGCATCATAGTGAAATAATTTCTTACATATTTCACAGATCTATACATTTCCAAATCAAATCAATTAGGAATGAACTACTAGGTACATTGATTAAAAATATTTTAGGTCTTAACACAGAATAATAAAGGCATTAATTTACTTTTGATCTATGGTTTTGATGGGATCAATAAAATAAATGCTTGATATCTATGATATTTTAAATTAATCTATTCCTGTCTGGATTAAGTTATTCATACAATTTACTGAAATTTAGAAAAAAGAAAAAAAAAACAGTAAACTGAAAACAATCAAATATATAACTATTTCTATCCAATTTTTGCTACGACTATCAAATATTTGACTGAATTAATAAAACTCTTCTAGAATCGAGCCAATATTGGGCTAAATCTATAAAATAAGGAGTAAATCAAACAAATACCTACCTATAAGTTTTTTTAAAGGTTTTGGCTATTTGAGTTATTTTTCATTTGAAAATATTTTAGTGTGTGGTGTTTTGTGGAAGGAAGAACGTCTCTCCTGTTTATGTGTAGTGCACGCCGCACCCGGTCCACAGAAAAAACTTGTCTAAGTTGTCTTTGTTTATTTTTTCGTACTCTCACACCCGTACTCGTAGTGCCACGCAGTGCTAACTGGCAATAATAAATTATTGAGTTTTGTGAGTGATATTTGTGATATTTGTTTCTTTATGGGAGAGAAATTGAAATTTCCAGTAGAAACGAACATTTAATCTGTTTTTTTTGTAAAAAAAACCTACTAATAACATAGGGTGTTACGGAGTTTTGGAATTGTGTTTTTTATTTTTATACAAGAAAATTTATATTTTTAATTTGGTTCCTATAAGCTGATTAATTTGCTTTTACACTAAAGACTTATAGCCGTATGCAACATCATCTTTTAATTTTAAAAGCGCTTTTAGCCTATTTTGTCACTTTTGAAAATTTATATTCTTAAGCAATTGACTTTCAAAGTCGCTTTTAAAGTTAAAAGAGGATGTTGCATACGGCATACGGCTGTCATTATTTTCTTATTATCTATAAACTATAGGGTAAAAATTGTATTCCTTTTGAGAAG